CCGCTCTTGTCCGGTTCTTGAACGCTCGTGTCATTTTCACCTCACAGCTACACCATATGTCTATCCATCTCATCGGAAGCAGCGAAAACCAAAAAACTGAAAAAGCGACCAGAGCCTCGTACAAATAGCGGTGGGCTTTTTCTTTTTTATTTATCACCAAACTATCCTTCCCTCTTTAAATAAAATTATTGTCAGTTTGAAAAGTGCACTATTACGGCTCCAAGTGCAGCAGGCATTTATTTGTGATTGCGATACGGAAAGAGAAAGTAAAAGGAAAGTAATTGCTAATCCAAATCAGGCAAAAACGAAAAGACAAAAAACAGAAAGACCAAATTTTCAGCAGATTCTCTTTCTTTTCCACTATACTAAACCGCTAATGCCATCATCACCATCATTTCGATTCATATATGTGGGCCGCTCTAGTACAACTACCGAAAAAAAAACCAAAAAAGAAAAACCCCAATCACACAGACCCGGAAAGGCAAGACAAAAGACATCATAATGACACTTCCACAGAAGGCGTATCTATATCTGAGCTCTGGCTATGTAATGTAAATGTGTCAACTTTTCTTCTCTTTTTTTTTTGGGTTTTCTTTTTAGACCAAAAAGACCTCCATACTTGCCTCCTTTGTGGACTCACAAACGGGACAAGAACCAAGAAAAGCTTCACAGGATTTGCACGAACAGAGGTGTCTGCAAGGAAGGAAAAGAACGCATGAATTCTGAGCTTTACAGCTTCTGCAAACCATTGACGTTTCTGGGCTCGTCACCTTTCCTCCTAATTCTTCACAAGACGACTCTGCGTCTTCGGCTCGATTACCGACCCAAACTTGTCTCTCTCTAACTTCTTGAAGCGTATTGTTAAGGTCCATTATCATGGCCTCGTTTGCTTTCGCTACTCTCTGCCATGTTTGGCTTTCGATTTCCACTTTCCTCAGTCGGACTTGGAGCTCCATTCCTTTCTTTCTCGCTTCGGCCAAATCCGCTTCCTTTTGCCTTATCAGACTCAGCGTTTTCGACTCCAAACTGCTCATCAGAGCCAAAAGCTGTTGCTTTCTTTGCTCGTGCAAGGCAAATCTCAACTTCTCATTCTATAAATTTCACAAATAAATAAATAAATAAATAAGATTGAATCTTGAAACAGGAATATTATGAGCTCTTTAGTTTTTTTTAAAAATTTTTAATTTAAATTGTGATTTGATGTGAATTTTTTATTATAATAAAAAATTAAATATAATTATTTATAAAAAATTTTATTTGTAAATTTATTTTACTGTTTTAGAGTTTTTTATTAGAATAAAATTTAAATTTTAAATTTAAATTAACGAGAGGAACCTATATTTATAATAGTTTTATGTATAAATTACCTGTAACTGAAGAATGCATTCGAGTTCTTGCCTCTGCAACTCCATTTGCGCGTCTAGAGGAAAAGCCGTTCGGAGAAGACTATCAGAAGAAGAGGAGGAATAAACCCCATTATTATTGAGATGAAGCTGAGCCTGTTGATGGCCAAAGAGATGGGTATCGTCGTCAATACCAAGAACAGGATTGAAAGTCAAATCTTGGAGAGAACACATATTGGTGGGCAAACCCAGATAATTCCCAGAATTTAAGTGGGCCTGAACAGCCATTGTTATTTTCTTCTTTTCCTATCAAAATACCAGAAAAACCAGTAGAAGAAAGTTCACATATTTGATTGGGTGGTGATGAGAAAATGGGGTAGTGAAACGAAATGGTGGGGTTAGGTCTAAAGCTAGAGGATTCTCTCTGTGTTGTTGTTGTATCAGAAAAGATGCATGACTCTTTCTTTATTTCTTTCTCTTTGTTTCTCTCTCTATCTCTAACTCTTTTATTGGCTTGGCATAACCTTTGCCTCCTTTGTTGCTCTGCTTTCTTTCTGGCCGTTTAACTGAAAGAGACCATTATGAGAGAAACCCGTGGGTGGTGGTTCTATTTATATTTAGTGGGAAAATGACAAATCTTCTTTATTTATATGGGATTATGATTAATAAATGTCTACTTTTATATAGGATATGAAAGAATAAAGTACGGAGAGTGAGAAAAGGATTTTTTATTTTTTGGGGTCAGAACCCAAAAAGGCTCCAAAACCAGCAGAAAGCATTTATGAGAGAGAGATACAAGAGTGGGGGAAAACGACGACGTACACATGCAGATTTTGTGACAAGGAAGTCACGCAACTATCGGGGTCAGAGATTTCTTAGAGAGAGAAAGAGAGAGAGAGGGAGAGAGGGAGATGTGTTGGTGAAAGAGAAATTCACTCAATTCAGACGTGAAAGGGTCAGATTGCAGACGTTATTGGGGGAAATCAGAGAGACGGGAGAAATTGTCAGTTCAATCCTTGGGAAAAAGCTGAAGAATAGCAAATTCATTTCATTTCACTTTTTTTTCTTTTTTTATGTCCTCGTTGGGAAAAGAGAATTAAATCAATCATGCGTTGAATTTATCAGAATTAACCATGTAATCATGCGTTGAATAGCAAATTCATTTTTAATCCGTTTGATTTATAAATTAAAATTATGTGGTTAAAATTATTTTTAATTTACGTATATTTTTTATAAAAAAAAATATTGTAGCGAATCATGAATCATGATTCAAATTAAAGAACGAATCCCTCTACTAAACATCACAGTGATTCAGAATTTTTTTCATTTTTATGTGTATTTTTTTGTGTGAAAAAATTACTATTAAAAATTATGAATTATAATTTAAAATCAAGAACGAATACAAGAAACAAACGTCCCTTTTAATTAGATACAATTCTCCAACTAAATAGAAAAATTTGTTGTTTATAATTCATTTTGCCATTCAGGAAAAATAAATAAATTGTACACATTGTCGTGTTGACAGGTTTCTCAAGGCCTTCTCGCCATGTAGACCCTTTGATCTACGATTTCACAAGATAAAATTAAAATTTTATTTATTTTACTGATTTGAGTTTAAAATTTAAAGTTTATTACAGTAAAATTTTTTAAAAAATAATCATATTGAACTTTTTTAATATAATAAAAATTTCACATAAAATCACATTAAATTAAAAACTTGAATCAAAGAATTAAATAATCTTTAAAAGAACTAAATAACTGAAATCAGTAGGCCCAGTGAGACAATGATGGAGCCCACAAAAGAGATCATTGTCATGTTATTATGAAAGACAATCTCTCATAGGCTTAGTTTGGTAGTGCTGCGGATTATAAAAAAAGTGCTTTTAGCTGTGCTGAAAGAAGAAACAGCTGTTATAAGAAGCAGCTGAGTGTTTGGTAAACTGTAATTATAGTAGCTGTGCTGGTTCTAAAATCAGTGTAATAGCGTTTGGTAAATTTTGATGTTGAATTGCTGTGGGTATGTAAAATGACCAAAATAGACATGATATGAAAATTAAATATATATAATTATTTTTAGTATTTAGAAGTATTTATTTAACTTAAAAAAAACATAATGCTATGATTTTGAGTTTTTTAAAAATAATTTATGATAATTAATTCTTTTTTTTCATTTTTTCATTCACAATATAGTTACAACTAAAAGGAGCATTAGTGAGTAATCAATTTGTTGAACAAAAAGGTACATTCCATGTTCAAAAACTGACAGAGTCATTAAAAGAATTAAGTCGTGTTCATTAAACTTGTCACAATTTGATCTCGTACTTTAATCATTTCTTGTGATAGTAAAGCTTCATCTTCTTCTACATTGTCCTCCAGTTGATGCTCTTCATAAGCGAAAACATCTAGATTATCCTCAATTTTTTGAAAATGTCGATCACGCTGATCATGCATCCTAATATAGTTATGAAGCATCATTGTTGCAATAACTATTTTTACTTGCTTCCTAAATGAATAATTAGGCATGTCTCTCAAAATTTTCCATTTTTTCTTTCAAACACCAAAAGTGCGTTCAATGACACTTTGAAGAGAAGAATGTGCTTGATTGAATACCTCTTTACTGCCCATTGGTCGACGACCCATTCGAAATTGTGGTAAATAGTATCGTTCTCCTTATATCCAAGAAATCCTTTCAAATGTTTGATTATTTTCTATGACAATATTGGTTATTTGATTTGGTCCAGAGAATTTAGTATGCAAACTGTAGAAAGAAATCAGAGACTTAAAAGTTTTATTGCATATTCAACAATCTTTAGTGCAGCCATGTAAGCAGTTTTGCATAGCATACAAGCTTAGTACCAAACAAATATACAAAGTAAAATCAAAGTTTACCATTATTCCCTATAACATTTAAGCATTCAGCACACCAGAACGTGTATTTTTTTTCCATATATGAACAAACAAAGGGGAAAAATGAAAGGAACAAGGATAAAATGACCTTCGCTGTCCATCGATGTATTAGCTCAGAGCCAATGAAAGTTATATATAGGAGTTATAACAGATTTCACTTGGAGATACTTGTGGAGGACCTCAAAGCAAAGTAGCAATTGATACATATGGTGCCGGCACGGATTGATCTCGAAGCAGTGTTGGCCACATTCAAGTCCTTTGTGACAACACCTGCTGCTCGTACTATACATGAAATGAAGATCTCTTTTTCATGGGAAGCATTTTCCTTCAACTTGGCATCAAATTCATCGACAGTATCGCAGTTTTGACCCATTTCAGTTATGAACTCAGCCAAAACCTTGTCTCCAAACCCTAAGTGGGTCTCAAGCTTAGTGCAGACCTTGGAGACCAGCGATAAATATTCAAGCTTCTTTAGACCCTCATCTGTAGCAGCCATTGATGAAGATAATCAAAGCCTATCTGCAAGAATAACAGAGGTCAAAAACTTGTATAACGCACCCGAAGGCAAGGACTTTTGTTCATATTTACATACAATTTTGTGGGCATAAATTAAGTAGTAAATGAAGCGTGAGAAATAAGAACATTTATACAAAACAAAGAAAAAAAAATGCAGAAATCAGAGAAATAGATTAATAGAAAGATGAATAGTTCACGACAATTCAAATTACAATCTTTAATTTTTTTTCCACTTTTTGCCATACCTTTTGGGAATAGAAGAAAGGAACGCAGGGACCAGAATGAGAGAGCGCAATCGAAGGTGGCATTACTTCCAATTCCTCAGATGAAACTCAGCAGCAGAACTCAACCCCTAATTCCTCCGATTTCATTTGTGCCAATTAGGGTGTGAACTGATAGTATTATTCCGACATTAAAGATGAGAATTTCACCAGATTCTTAGACGAGGGCAGCGAAATCAAAGAAGAAAGAAGAAGATTTGCTTTACGTTGTGCTGCTGTAAACGTAATGGGAATTAGAAAGCTTAGTATAAATTGACCAAAAACCACAAAGGGGACAAAATGAACGAGCGGGCACCATGAGATTTGGGGGGAAAAGTGTTCATAAATGAAAAACATATAGAAATAGAGAATGCGACCTCTTTCGGTAAGCGAGCTTGGCGTAGGAAGAGCGCTTCATGTGCCTTTGATCTTCCTTCCACTACCCAGTCTTCACAAAATCATGTATCGATCTTCCTTCCATGAACCTAAGAATGCATGGGGAAATTTGGGCATTTGGTGGAATGAGAGGATCGAGTGAGGTTTTCTTCTTCCTTGTCCAGGTAAATGCCTCTTCGACAGCTAACACGAGCAAAACCACCAACACCGAGAGAACAGAGATTTTGGGGACTCCACCGCCGACAATCGCAGGAGATAAACGGAGAGAGGGAGCCCGAGAGAGAGAAGAAAGATAAACGGAGGGAGAGAGCGAAGGCTGAGGCTGAGAGAGGCTGGGGCAAGAGAGCACGAGAGGAGGCTGCCTCTGAGAGTTTCAGGAGAGGGGCTGAGGCAGAGAGCACGAAGGAGTTTCAGAATGATAGGTTTGAGGGTTATTTTGGGAATAACTAAAATTTCATTAATGAGGGACTTTAGATTCCCGGACAATCTGAAATCAGAAGCAGCACACTTGCTGCTTCTGATTTAAGCTAAAATATTGCTTTTAAATTATCTAAGAATCCGGTTTTATGTGTTTACCAAACACATTTTTTAATTTCAGCTGAAAAAATAAGTGCTTTTAGCTTCCCAAAATCTCTACCAAACTAACCCATAATGGAGATCCTTTTTCAGTGATAAGAATTTAGACGGGCAACAATTATACAATATTGGGTTAGGTTCTAATAAGTTTATAAACGCGTGGATGAAAACATGCAAACTTTACATTGAAGATTAGTAGTAGGTTGATTTGGATGTGGGATTCTCTCTTTTTCTTTTTTTCCTTTTTTATTATTATTATTTTGGGGTCTCTTCTTTTGGTTAATGAAGGAAGGGAGACCCTGCCACGCAGTTACTACATGCAGAGAGCAATGACACCTTGCAGATTGGAAGTTGGAACCCACTTGACGTGCAAAACCTAATCTACAAAAGGGTCTTTGTATTTTAAGCCGAAAGATCGTGGATAATAATGAGCTCCACTAGAAACCTGGCTATGCTGATCCTTCAGATAAGCTCAATATTCTTGCTGGGTTAAAAAAAAAATATATACAACTTTTTTCTTTTTAATACTATAAAAAAAGAAAGTACGTTTGAATCTGTCGTTTATTTCAAAAAAGGAAAACAGAAAAGAGGGCAGCTTCCAGCTTGAAAATCGAGTCAACAGGAAGTGGATCAGGCAAGGAAACCATAAGCACTTGGGAAGGTGTTCCTTTTAAGGGCTAAAGGAGTACTGGTTCAAAACATACGTCAGATATGGCCATGTGGTTAATAAAGTGAATAATCAGTTTGTACTTTGTAAATAGTACCAAACAAACCATTTACAAAATGGTATTATTATATGAATTTATTTACATCAAATATGTGAAAAGTTTGGGATTTCAACACATCTTTTATAATTCCTGATAGGTTTCACAGTTAACTTTTAACTGAAGTAGATCAAAGATCCAAAAACCTCTAGTGGCCACGAACTGGTTCTCTCTGTATTTGAGCCAATGGTCATAATGCCTTTTGACTCTATTACGTCTCCTCTTGCTATGAGGAGATTTTTTTACTACTCATTTCTCAGTGCTCGAGGGGACAGACAGACACTAGAGGTAAAAACCGAACCAGACTTGGGACGGGAACCAAAGGAAGAAACATCACTTCATGTTACAAGTTACAACCAACCTCACTTGACTGACATTGGACATCATTTATTCAATACAGCTGTATCTGTGTGAGACCACAGCCTTGAGCCGTTTAAGGTCCCGTTTATTTTGTTGATTCGAGTTTAAAATTTAAATTTTATTACAATAAAAAGTTCTCACATTTAACTTTTTTACTACAATAAAAAATTCTCACATAAAATTACATCTCAACTCAAATTAAAAATTCGAATCAGCGAAGCAAACTAAACAGACCCTAAAACTATCAATGTAAGCATGACCAAACACACCTTCCTTTCTGTAATCATGAATCAGCACAATTTACGAAACGCACTATATTTGATATATCTCACCTTCATGCCTTTATTCTAGAAGACTCTCCCACTGCCCCTTCCATTCTATTGTACCATTCACCAATCCGGGTATTGCTCACCATGTCTCTGCCGGATTGAAGGTGCCGGATGGGCCTCAGAACACCAAAAACAGAAATATCAGCTAAATTGGGACTCGACCCACCTGTTGTAAATGCAGAACCAACTTATATGCATTAGGATCTCTGATCAAATAGTGTCAATACTTCTATTGTGAAACCAAAAAAAGGGGTTCAAATATAGAAAAGGAATTTCGATGATCAGACCAAGAAACTGCCTTCCTTTAAGAGCATCCACCCATGTTTCTACAGCTTCATAAAACGCTGCACGTTCGTCGGTGATGTTGTGCCTCTTCTTTAGTTTCTTAGACACAAAATACATAGCTGCAGCTCCACCATACTTTGCTATTATTCTTTCAGAAAAACTGAAATTGCCTGCGCATACAAAAAGATCATATAAAAAACGTATCAGATTAGCTGCCATCGTCTGAGACCAAAATCATTATGTCAAGTAAGGGTGACAATTCGTGTTAATAAATTGTGTTTGTGTCAATCCGTTTTTTAATCGTATTAAAAAATATTAATCTAAACACGACATGTTTATTAAATGTGTTAAAAATATTAATTCAAATACGACTTATTTATTAATCGTGTTAACACGTCTAACTCGTTTAAATTAATATATTAAATAAATAACTAATATAATAATTTATTTAACACGATCAAGACAAGTTTAACATGTTTATTGGTCAATTTATCTTTTTTAAAAAAAAATAAAAAATTTACCTATAAATATTAAAATTCATTTTATTTGTATTTAATATATCAGATAAACTTTCATGTTATATTACATATCATTAGATTATAAATGATTACAATAGTTAATCGTATTCATTCGTGTATTCTTGTATTATGAGGTCAACTCTAACCTAATAAATTTATTAATCATGTTAATTGTGTCAACCCGATTATAATCTAAATTTATTTATAATAAACCAAAACCTAGTAACTTTGTACAAATTTCAAATCGTAACGCTACTCAGATTGCCAATCCTAATATTTTGATATCCAAAAGATTCCTCAACTTTAGTCCAAATTATCATCACAGCAAACATCTTTAGTCCAAATTATCATCACAGCAAACATCTCTTCATCAGGGTATAATATTAAACGGTCCAAAGAATGAGCAAACAACATAAAGAAGTTTGAAAATTGAAATAGAAATAAACAAAAGCAATGTCCAGGATTTTACTGCCATACCATGAGATGTGATATAGTCAAAAGACTCGAGTGCCTCAGAAGCAGTTCTATATATGTTCGGTGACAAAACATGAACCAAGTGATTATCCACCCACCTACATCAAGAATATTGCTTTATCAGTAAGTCAGTAATTTAATCAATTTAAATTAAAAATTTAAATAAACTAACTTAAATAAACAAATTATACGAACCCTTAATGTAACTAAAAATATATATTAATGTGAGTCTGTGATCCAATATTAGAAATAGTACAAATCAATAATCATTTCCACAATAGTAAATTTAATACCTGCGCCACTTCTTTTCTTCTTCGCTGTCCAGGGCAGGGTTGTCAGGATTGATCTTTTGATACAGATTATCAATTATAACTAGAAAGAAAAGAAGCCAAGCTTTGAGCATATATTAAAAATTAAGGAATTGAGATGTGATATTTTTTAAAAATTTTTTATTGTAGTAAAAGAAGTTAAGGTCTTGTTCACTTTGTAAATTAAGTTTTTAATTTGAGTTAAGATGTGATATTTTGTGAGAATTTTTTACTGTAACAGAAAAAGTGAAATGTGACATTTTTTTAGAACTTTTTACTGTATAAATTTAAAATTAAAAACTCGAATCGGTAAAATTAACGAAACTTAAATGTGATATTTTTTAAGAATTTTTTACCATAAAAATTTAGAACTAAAAATTTAAATCGGTAAAATAAATGGGACCTAAAAGTCACACGCAACAAAATTGCTCAGGAACAACCGAACAAGTGGAATAATAGCCTAACAGTGATCTAAACGGGTCAAGTAAAACATAAAAAGAAAACTGCTTTAGAAGTCTTTGAACTTTAAACCTGATGAATCGACCATGTTTTCACCATCAACTTTCAAGATGGGCACCTTCTTGTAATCAGACCACTTGATCTCCTTTTTGTTGATGGGGTTAACTTCCACAACCTTGTACGGAACGTTGTGAAAATCCAAGAACGCTACGAGGAACAAAAGCGGAAATAGATAAATGCTAATAACAGAAAATAATCCAAATTAATCAAATTACCAGAAATCTACACCCCAATGGTTAAATTGGCAAACAATAGAACTAGATTTCCATGCAATGCAATTAGGTCTTTTTTTCTATGTCATCAAGCAATGAAATTGGTCATTCCAATCGCGGGTTAAATTCTCACCTTTGACTTTGTTGCAGAAAGGGCAGGCTTCGTACTGATAGAGCACGGCATCTTTGGGGAGGAACTTGTCGGAGCTCTGTGGCTCCTTCGCCGGAGAGGCGGCGCTGGAGAAGCACATGGTTGCCGGAAAACCGTGATTCATGGAAGGGATGAGAGTCAATTGAGAAAAACCATCGGAGGATCGTCCAGCGAACGACGGCAAGCGAGAATTAAAGGTTGCCGCCGCTACCTGAGGCAGAAGTCCCCGTCGAGCGGCGGCGGAGGTTCTGGCGGCGCCGGCGAATTCACCAGCAATGGCTCGGCCGAGAGCTGCAAGTCCCTTAACCCTTCTCATCGTGATCGAATCAGATCAAAGTGGTTTTGTCCCTCTCTTCAACTGTTCAATTTCTGAAATTGTTGGGGTTTAGAAAGGGTTTTAGGTAGGGACGACAACACGAGTCACGATATGATAATACGAATCAAAATTGATACGAAAATTACAAGTTAGAGTTGAAAAAAATGGGGTACAGTTCGGAATTAGGTCGACTCAAATTTAACACGAACAAAACGGGTTAATTTCTGGTTGGACCCGTATTACCCGAAATTGACCCGCAATTCAATTTCATGTTAATTTAGTGTCAATTTCGGGTTCAAACCCGACCCTGACCTATAGTGACCCGTAAAAAATATATATATATATATTATACATAATATTAAAGGAGGCACCCGGGTTACTGTTTTTAGAATAGTGTTCGGTCATTCTTATCCTTATTTTTTAGAATAATTCTGGATGTGTCCTAAAATTTGTTGTGATTGTACGATTTTATCCTCGGTTTTAATTTGTTGCAGTTGATGTAGTTATGGGTTTTTGGTAAATTTATGCAGAGAGAGAGGAAGTGCATGTGAGATGTTTGAGTGGTGGGGCCCGGTTTCTGCACAAAGAGAGAGAGAGAGTGCAGAGTGGTGGGACCCGGTCCTATATGTGTTCAAAATGTTGTTTGCGTTTTTTACAATTTGTTTTTATTATTTTGTCCTCAATTTTTTTCCCTTCCCGTGTTTTTCTGCTGGCCATTTTTGTCATTTAGTGCAGTGGTTTTTGTTTAGTCTTCTCGAGAAGCTTCTTGCTTCTTTCATTTTTTCCCTGCATCTAATGTCTCTTTTACTGAGGCTATTTTTCTTTGTTTCCTGTGCAGTGGTTTTTATTTAGGCTTCTCGAGAAGCTTCTTGCTTCTTTCATTTGTGATTCTACGTCTGCATCTAATGTCTCTTTTACCGAGGCTCTTCTTCTTCATTTACTTTTCACAAGTTCTCTTCATTTTCTTTGTGGTTTTCTCTAGTTTATTGTGTTTTGTACCTAAGTTTATTCTCCATTTTATGTTTCTGCGTTTTGTTGCATTTTTTGTAGGGTTAATTTGAGATTTTTTTTTTGGACAAATGGGTAAAGGTTTTCGTGGGTTTCATTTTGGTTTGTCTTATCTATTTTATGCATTTTTTTTCTTTTCTTTTCTTTCTCTCTTTTCGTAAGGCTTCTAGGAATCATTGTTAATGTTTGTTTTGTTTTGTAGTTTTGTTTTTCGTTTTTTTAGATCTGACTTCCTTTTTTTTATTCAGTTTTTTTTCGGTCTATTTTTTCAGATCATCCTGTTTATTTTTTCAGCTATGTTAGTGTTTTTATAGATTTTGCTTCCTTTTTTCCCCCTTTTTTATTAGGTTTTTCTTTTTTGTTTTTTTAGATCTGTACGTGTTTTTGCTTTGTTTTCTTTCTTGTTTTTAATTTTTTTTATTTTATGTTTCTGGGTTTCCTTGCAATTTTCGTGAGGTTATTTTCAGATTTTTTATTTGTTTTTTCCACAAATGGGTTAAGGTTTTCGTTGGGTTCATTTAGGTTTTTTTCTCTTGTTTTATGAATTTTTTTTCCTTCTTACTTTCTTTCTTTTCATAAGGTTTCTGGGAATCATTTTTAGTGTTTGTTTTGTTTTGTAGTTTTATTTTTCATTTTTCTTTTTTTAGATCTAGCTTCGTTTCTATTTTTTTATTTCCTTTTTTTCCTCGTATATATTTTCAGATCTGTTAGTGTTTTTGTAGATTTGACTTCGTTTTTTCTTCCGTTTTTTCTACTCGGTTTTTCTTTTTGGTTTTTTTAGATCTGTACGTGTTTTTGCTTCGTTTTGTTCTGTGTTTTTTAATTTTTTTTTCATTTTTCTAGATCTGTTAGTTTTTTTGTAGATTTAATTTTATTTTTTTATTTCGGTTATTTCTTCATTAGGTCTTCAAAATAATTAGTTCTTACTTTTTTCCCTTTTTTCTATTTTCGTCATTTTTTATTCGTTCACTGGTTATTACGTTGTCTAACACCCACCCGTTTTTAACAAATTATTACGTTTTGTTTATTTTTTTTCACTCTCTGCAGGTTCTTCGTTATATTCCACGGTAGTTATTGTTGACACCCAAAATTTTACAAGGTATATGCTCGGCCCAAATCCAATAAATACGATTCCATGTATGGTACGTGGACCCAAGCCACGTTCAGGGACTTCTATATGGACCGTGGTTTGGCAGGCCAAGGAATGTGACCGGACCCATTCTATCCGGCCCAATTAGATCTTTGGCCCACTTGGGGTGGCCCTGGGTCTATGAGGGAATTAGGATAATGTAGGTTATGGAGGAAATTAGATAGAAGAAAAAAAACCCATTAGTCCATTACCTTGCATTAAGATACAAAACAACATTTCTTCACGTCTTTCTTTTCCTTTTTTGTTCACTCCCTTCTGCCTTCCCAGGGGTCAAATGCAGCCACTTCCTCAAAAAACCATAAAAGGCCAGAATACACACGAATGAGAGGGGGCAATCTCTTGACCATGTGGCTGCCACTCTCTGATCTCACCCAAAATGGCCACAGAGCCATGTCTGGCTGCCTAGTGACCTACTACATTCACTTATGGGGTAAACCTTCCTCTGAGGATCAACGAAAGTTGCCCTTGAATCCCACTGGAAATGTCTTACCGATGGGGACCTTTGGGGGGAATTTCAGCCAAAGTTCAAAACGGCTGGCGGAAAAACTTCCTTCCCCTTTTCCACGATCCTGGTCTATTAATAATGTTGTCCAAACCTCTGAAGGGGGGACGAGGATACAGGGGAAAGGAGGAAGAATGGCAGATCAAAGTACTCTGTTCTAATTCCTCTGTATTTCTGGTTTCTAGCAGAGCGACCAACGGGGAATTATATTCTCCATAACTTCTGGCGGAGTCCCTCTAGAATAAGTTTCTAGGCGTTCTCCCCATTAGAAGTGGTTACAAAAGCTCCCGAAACATCAAAAGCCCTTAACCATAGCCCAACACCTCGAGATTGACTGTTTTTGCTCCTTTCACGCACTACGTCCGTCGGAATCATTTTGTTCACAAACAGAGAAATATAACCCCGTTACCCACTTAGAAACTTCCTCTATAAACTGGTCACATTCCTCTCCCACACTATATGCTCACAAGGAGATCCCCATCAGAGATTCTTCATCGTCACTGAGCCGAAGCCGCAACGGGTGTCGCCCTCGGATACCGTCATCCTCGGGGTCATCCGGGTTTTGGCTACCCCAGCCGGGGCCAATCTCATCCCCTCGGCCACCATCGACACCAGAAAATGCCCTCGGCAGCTCTCTGACCACGTCAGTCAATGTGAGCGCAGTCCTCACGAACCAAAAAAAAGAGCCACGCATCCCCTACCTTCCACGTCGACAAGCCCCCACCAAAAGAGCCCCAACATTTTGCGACTCCACTGGGGAAGCTAAACTAGAGCTTTCGAATGGCTCCTACAAGAGTAAGAAGATGAAGACTACACTCGATGAGGATTCACAGGGAACGGAGATGTCTGTCTCAGACCATGAGGTCGGCGCCCCCGATGGAGCCGAGGCTTCAGCTGCTGGCCTCACAGAAATAATCCACGAGATGGCTCGAACCCAGGGAACCCTTATGCACGAGGTGGCTGAATTGAAGAATGCTCTTACTCAACAGAACGCCCGGCCCACGCCAACGGCCGAAGCTGCACAACAGGAAACCTTGGTCTTCGAAGAACCAAGGATTCAAGCTCAGACGGAAGTCAAGGAGGACTTCCTAACCCATACAGACGTGGTCTCCTTTCTTGAAAAACACATCTATAACACCTCTCCTGAAGACCTGAATTTTGTCCCTAGACCTCCTCATTCTCCCGAAGTGTGCCGCAAGCCGTACCCCAAGGGATACGAGACTCCAAGGTTCTCCCTTTTTGACGGCAGAAAAGGGAACCCCAAAGAACATATTAACCGCTTCCTAGATATGCTCGAGCAGTACTCCAGTGATAAAGATCTGAGGCTCTGAGAGTTCTCAAAATCACCCACTGATCGGGCATATACTTGGTACACGACTCTGACTCCAAGATCAGTCCGATCATGGGAAGAAATGGCGAGTCGGTTATGTCGGAAGTACTTCCAAAATGAAGAAAGGATCACAACCATCACTTTAAGCAACACTCGTCATAAACCAGGGGAACACCTCGTAGATTACGTCCATCGCTTCCGAGACCTTACGCTGGACTGCTACGATGGGAGTAGCGAAGGGGATCTGGTTGAAATATGTATCAACAACATTGTCCCAGAGTATAGAATGTATATGGAAAATGTCATGATTAAGCAGTTTTCTAAATTGCTTGAAGCCGCCAGAAGGACTTCTTCGTTGGTAAGAATCACGTCGGGACCCCGTAGCTAGAGGGAGAAGAGGGAAGTACCGCACTCACTGGCCATATCAGAAAGGCCATTGTGGGACTATCCCCGAGACATGAGGGAAAGGGACAGAGAAAGACCGGAGCAGTGACCCGTTCCTTGCACGGACGAAGAGTTCCACGCTATCCTCGACCAGTGGATCCAAGATAGGATAGTTTGCCTTTTCGCACCGCGAAGGCAGCCGACAATGGATGATAAAAATCATCCGAGGTACTGCCGGCTTCACCAATACGTCAATCACCCCACAACGGAGTGTCAAATCCTTTGAAAGATTTTTCATGCCAAAATTAATAACGGCACTCCCGAGCTTCCGCCTAAGAAACAGACAATCGACCTAGACCCATTACCTCGCCACCAGGTGAAAGAAACCTGCGCCATGTTGTTCTGTTTGAAAAGGAAGGGAAAGGGGAATCCAACTAGAGAAACACGAGCGTGGCAGGCAGATCCAAAGCCGCCCGAAGGGGTATGAGAGGCATCCGGGAACAATAAACGAGCCTTTTGGTGTACTTACAGTCAACCGAAGCATTATGGCACACCCTTCCCAGCACCAAGCGGTTGGGGAGACGACTTCAAACCAGAAGAGGGAGGACCGAAAGAGGTTTCACTAGGGACTGAAATTCTAAAGCCTGAGCTTGCAGAGGGTGG